GCTGGCCCTATGGTCCTCTCTGTGCTTTGGCTGCTCTGAGTGGGAATATCGTCCTCAGGACTTGGTGAGCCAGGATGTGTTCCACTCTCTTCCTCTCCCTTCATTTGCTCCTGTGTGTTCTGATCAGACATGTTCCTCTCCCAGAGTTGTAGCTTCAGTGCTGTCCTCTGAAGTGAAGTGAATTTCGGGAGGGGGCAGCTGTCTACATATTTGGGATTGGGGCTGGCCTCTTAGGAGTTTTTTGGGTGGTTTTTAAATTTTATTTCTTATTGCTATTCTATTAAATCATACCTACTCTTCTATTGAGGATCCCTGGTGACACTGTGTTATGCTTGGGCTGCTAGCTACCAAAGTGGCAGTTCAAAGTCACTGGTCACTTGCAAGAGAAAGATGAGGCAGTCTGCTCCCTCAAGTTTTATAGTCTCAGAAATCCTAAGGTGTGGTTCTACTTGGTCTCAAAAGGTCAATATGAGTTGGAAGAAACTAAATGGCAGTTGGTTTGGTTTTGCTTAAACGCTTCTATTAACTATTCCATTTCTATAAATATCAATTTACAAAGAGCACCTATCAATATTTACAAAGAGCAACTATCACTACGATATTATAGTCAGTGTGATTGTTCTATTTCACATCCTAATGACATTCTGTAATAGTTATTTCTCAGATTATAATCTCTTATCAAAGAAAGTCCCATCAGCTACACAATCACGTCTCGCTTTAACCTATGGATCCTGGCATTGGGGTACCACCTGGTGGCCAGCAATAGGAATTAACCTTCCTACATCCTAATTTCTTTCACGTAGGAACAGTTGAATAAGCTTTGTAGTTTTGAGTACAACAAATTCAGTCTTAGAAATGTTTCTTCAGTTGAACGCATGCATCTTTCTCAAACTCCGCCCTCTTTTATTAGTTTTCAAGTATAGTCAAACACTTCAAAAAAGCCACTTTCTATCTATTACTGTTCACGAGACTTTCCTAATTGCCTTCTAATAAAGTTAAACTTTTCCTGAATTCACCTGTAAACAGTAACACAATACAGTGACTTCTGGTGAGCTCCCAGATAAATCATTTTATTTTTTATTTTTTTTGATAAATCATTTTAAAAATGGTTTTTAACACTTACCTGATTTTTGTCTCTATTTTATTCCATATTGAACATGAGTATCACAACAACAAAAAATACTAACATTATTTTCAACATCCACCCCCCTTACAAAACTCTACAATGAGATTATTTCTAATCATATCGAATTATTTAGTTTTGCAAGTATACTGTTAAATCAAAGACTTTCCCCCTAAATTGGAGGTTTTTTAAAAATCAACTAGATATAGTCATATGCTCTTTTGATGTTACCAGCCATTACTAATTCTCAGACTGGTTAGATAGATCCCAAAGTCCTATGAGAGCTATAAAGACAACTAAGTAGTACAGAGTCCTTGCTTTCCAGAGTCACAACATTAGTGAAAGGTTGTTTTAAAATTAATGAGACAATTAGGTAAAAAGTGTTTAAAGATAGTGTCTGCTACATAATAAACACAATAGTAGCCATCACAATAAGCAGTAGCTAGAATCCCTGGCTAGTGCAAATGGTTAATCAGCTTGACTGTTAATCAAAAGGTTGGTGGTTCAGGTCTGCCCAAAGGCATCTTAGATGAAAGGCCTACCAATCTACTTCTAAAAAAAATTAGTCATTGAAAACCTTATGGAGCACAGTTCTATTATAACACATATGGGGTTACTATTAGTCCAAAGTAGACTCCAAAACAACAGGTGAAAGTCAAACCAACCACGCCCACTGCCATTGACTCAATTCTACCTCATAGTGACCCTTATAGGGCAGAGTAGACCAGTTCTTTCGGCTTTCTAAGGCTGTAAATCAGCAGAAAGCCTCATCTTTCTCCTGAGGAACAGGTGGTGGGCACAAATTGTGGACCTTTCTGTTACAAACCAATGCATAACCCATTACACCGCCATGGTCATTATCATTCTCACTGTCATCGAGTTATGTAATTCTGCCTCACAGCAATCCTACAGGACAGAGTAGAACTGCCATGTGTTTTCTAATACTAACTCTTTCCAGGAGCAGAAAGCCTCATCTTGATACGGCTTAGGTACCAAGGAGGGGTGTGGTGGTGAGGAACCACAGTCAATTCCAACTCAAGGTCACCTACCTGTTGCAGAGTAGAACTGCATTATATAGAGTTTTCAGGGCTATAACATTTCAGCCAACCTTTGGTTAATAGAAAAGGGTTGTTTTGTTGTATTTTACCATTTGTACCACCCAGGGATACCTTTAATGTCATTAGGAAAGTGCAAATTAAAAATTTGATATGAGATCACTCTACACTAGAACGGCTAAAAGTAAAAACATTGACAAATGCCAAATGTTGCCAGGATTTCGAGCAACTGAAACTTTCATACACTGCTAGTAAAAATGAAAAATAGTACAGCCATTTTATAAATTAAACATGCACTTAGATAATGCAGAGAAATGAAAATGTGTCCACACAAAGACCTGTAAACAACCCAATGTCTATCAGCCAGTGAATAAATAAACAAATTCATACACAATGACTACTACTCAGTGGTCTAGAGGAGCAAGTTATCAAAACATGCAACAATATGGTTGAATCTACAACACTGAAAGTTATATGAAGTGTTTCCACTAGTTTTCTTATGCCTATCTCCCTTTCAGCTAGACACAGAAACTTTATTAATAACAAAGTAAAATAATGCAGGTATCCTTCAAAATATGTATTAAATGCTGATGACATGGTACAATGTTCTGAAATTTTTAGGACATATTTAGTATATTCCCATACTAAACATCTACAAAATCTAGACTTTAGAATTTTGCTCACTACCTTTATGAACGCCATTTCCTCTTCCATAAAATTGAGCCACATGAATATATGAAGCATACTTAATGTTTTAACAAAAGAGTAAAATTAAACAGCGCAACAATACTTCTCACTGCCATCAAGTCATTTATGACTCTCAATGACCCTATAGGACATGGCTGAACTGCCTCTGTAGGTTTTCTAAACTATAATTCTTAATGGACAGAGAAAGCCTCATTTTTCTCCTGAGGAATGGCTGGTGGATTTGAACTGTTGAACTTGCAGTTGGCAGCCCAACTTGTAACCACTATGCCACCAGAACTCCTAACAATATGTTAGGAAGCATTAACATTTACTTAATGAAAAAGTTAACTGCGAGTAGAACTTGGAAGTACTTGCTAATGCTATCTCGTTTTAGTTCCCAAAGAACAGTTTGGAGAGTTCTAGATAAAGAGAACAAATGTCAGTACAAGAAAGCAAACAGACTTACTCGCTCTGCAGTTGCATCCTCTCCTGGTACACATGCAGCAGCACAAGCTATTTCCATCAAAGCTGAGCTCGTAGGAGCATCTGTCGTAGAAGAAGATCTGGGACGGCCTGACTGTATAACAGTTGTCATCTCATGGCCAGATTTCCTGTTGATTTGGGGACTTCCCTTTGGGGCGTCTGGCTTCCCCCGCCTACTATGTAAGCTTGTCCCTCTCTTCATCTTAGGTGGCACTCGGATCTGCTGCAGGACTCGATTCAGAGCTGTGGGGTGGGTGGGGACACCATCAATCTCAGCACATGAGTTCTGGCTTTCCAGATCCACTTCAGGTTCTGGATCAGCCTGAATTTGCTGCACATCGTGTGGAGATACTGATGACCTCCTGCGCTGGTGCTGGAAAAGATGCTTCAAGCCTTGGCCAATCACGTTAATGTTCTCCAAAGCATTGTGGGTCATTTTAGACAACTTTTGTTCTGATTCTGTCTGCTTTCTGGCCTCTGCATCTTGGGATTTGCCTCCAGGATCGGGGTCCTCAGATAACTGTTCACTGCCCGAAGGCTCCATCAGTAGATTTAATATGCTTATTTGCAAACTCAAAATTTTTTGAACACACCAACGCTGTCAAATTAGGTAGGCATTTGCTTCAACAGTGACTACTCATGCAGCTGTGAGACGGAGGCTTCATGCTTATCTAACACATAAAAGACAAAAATAAAAAAGAAACTAATTATAAATCCATGCAGAAACTCCAGTGTTCCAGCAAAGAGAAACATGCAGCTAGTGAACAAATATGCACTATAATTAAGCAATCTTTAATCAGATGATTAAAAGACAGTTTTCTAAATAGTGAATAATGATTATTTTTTAGAATAGAAGAAAATGCCCAGGGTATATACACAAGAAATTAAAACAGCAATGTTTCTTTTTCTTAAAAAAAAAAAATAATAACCCTAAAAGTTTCAATATATGAAGAATGGATACTAGAGATACAATGGATACCTTGGCATGAACACCATAATTTTAGCTGAAAGAAAAGCCATTGCTTGAGAAATCAAGAAGGAATAGACTATGCAATGTGTTCATTCTAGCTGAGGCACTTTAACCCCTTTCATTCATGACCACAGCTAATTATTTATATATTGAAATCCTGTAAATTTAAACAATCGTGAAAAATGATCATCTTGATTTAACTACAGGTATGTGGATTAATGAATACGATACTTCTTGTTACCATTCATTTTTATAAATTTCACTGATAACAAGAAGTGACAATTTTGCACTTAAGACAAAGGAAACACAAATGTTACAAGTTGAATTTTCTCCTAACGTGCAAATAACCTTTCTGGCACCATATGAGTCCATGATTCAGACAGAACAAGACTAACAACACTGATTCTGCTCAATACGAGCTATCAGGAAAGAGGATTCAAAGAAATCCCTTTCTCCAAATAGTGGCTTCCTTGACAGAAACTTCGCATATATCCAAACCAGCTCAAAAGTACAGAACTAGCATTAATAACTGGGGATGACAAAACAGAAGAAAAAAGTGAAATAGCAACCACATCAGTATTAAATGCAGGAAATTAAAGGAAAGCTAAAACTAAGAGATGTATGGTCAGAAGAATTACTGAGATCAAATACAATAAATGAAGCAAGAGATATGGTATAGGATGAGATTTTTTTCATATGGAAGTGTTTCTTTTCTAAATTGAACTTCTGCAACTTTATAAAACAAACATATTGATGTATATAAGTTATTAAGGAGAATCGAATTTTGTGCAGGAAGCTCTTTATTTCCTTATTTCCCCTCAAAATTTTGTTTTAAAAAGCTTTAAAACTCCTTACAGTGTACTTTGAACAATGCTACTTCTGAAGCATTATCCTATTCTGAGGTGTGTGGCTCCTTGCTACCAAGTGGCAATGTAGAAGTCAAAACTCACATGGATGTAAGAATTCACCATGAACTCAAGGCAGGGAAATAAGAATGCAAACCCACTAGAGCAGTGGTTCTCAACCTTCCTAATGTTGCAACTCTTTAATATAGTTCCTCATGTCGTGGTGAGCCCCAAACCATAAAATTATTTTCGTTGCTACTTCATAACTATAATTTTGGTACTGTTATGAATTGGGCGACCTACAGGTTGAGAACCACTGCACCACTGTGCTTCCTGTTGACTACTCTCAGGCCATATACTATGGACATACAGTTCTTAGCATTGTGGCTTCACCATCTATATTCTCTAATGCCTATTTTCTCTTTTCCTAAACTCTTCATGACTCATAAACAGGGAAATTAGAGATATCAGTCTTTTATGAGTACTTTCCTATTTTCTAAATGCTTTTCATAAAATCCTTTGATCCCAAGTGAAGGAAGTGAGAAAGTAGCTGGAGAGATAGGAATTTCACTGCCCTTAGTCCAAATTCTTTGTGGCCCTGCTGAAATATCACCATAACATGGTGGTAACTATCTCATCCTTTTCCTGTCTGGGCATTGTCTTTTTATTTTTGGATATCTTAATTCTTAAGAGAATAATAATTGCCTTGATCTCTACTTAAATTTTCTGAGACTCAATGTGAGCAAAATTTTATCAATAATGTATACATTATCCTATTTTTCCCTTCGTGAATTTATCTGGTAATATAACATCTACTAAATTATTTCCACTCTTCAATAGCTCTAAAAAGCAAATGGGTTATGTAACCAAGAAAGAGTAATCCTGAAGCAGTGTATATCAACTTGTTTCTTCTTACACTAAATGATCCCAAAGAGATAGGCGGATGTGAAAGCCAACAGGCTAAGAATGAGGAGGTAGTCTACCACTTCCCTTCTTTCTACTGCATTAGTGAAATGAGAGGGCTTCAAAAGTTCATGGAAAAGTGGAATTAAAAGGTAACAGAAATTTTCCATATACTTTTTGAAGGGGCCCCCTCTTACAACTTTTTTGTTACCACTGTTGGGAGAAAAATTTATAAAATTATCAACCTGTGTGATCACGGGGTGTCGAACAGATCACTGAAGACAAAGGGGTGCATAAGCAAATGTGGTGAAGAAAGCTGATGGTGCCCGGCTATCAAAAAGTATAGCGTCTGGGGTCTTAAAGGCTTGAAGGTAATCAAGCGGCCATCAAGCTCAGAAGCAACAAAGCCCATATGGAAGAAGCACACCAGCCTATCCAACCACGAGGTGTTGAAGGGATCAGGTGTAAGGCATCATCAGAACAAAAAATCTTACCATAGTGAATGATGGGGGGAGTGCGAACTGGAGATCCAAAGCCCATTAGTAGGCCACTGGAGATCCCCTTGCAGAGGGGTCTCGGGGAGGAGAGGAGCCAGTCAGGGTGCGATGTAACAATGATGAGAAATACAACCTTTCTCTAGTTCCTAAAGGTTTCCTCCCCGCTCCCACTACCATGACTCAAATTCTATCTTGCAAGACTGGCTAGACCAGAGGATGTACACTGGTACAGATAGGAACTGAAAATACAGGGATTCCAGGATGGATGAGCCCTATAGGACCAGTGGTGTGAGTGGCAAAACAGGGAGGGTAAAGGGAGAATGGGTAGGAAAGAGGGAACCGATTACATGGAACTGTGTGTGACCTCCTCCCTGGGGGACAGACAACCGAAAAGTGGATGAAGGGAGAAGTCGGACAGGGCAAGATATGACAAAATACCCATTTATAAACTATCAAGGGCTCATGCGGGAGGGGGGAGCGGGGAGGGAGGGGAAAAATGAGGACCTAATGTCGGGGGTTTAAATGGAGAGAAAATGTTTTGAGAAACGATGTACAAATGCGCTTTACACAATTGATGTGTGTATGGATTGGGATAACAGTTGTATGAGCCCCTAATAAAATGTTAAATAAAAAAAATAAAAAAAAGAATAGCCCCCCCCCAAAAAATTAATTTATCCCATGATATGAACTTTCCATGAATAAAAGAATGAGGTCAAGGTTATTTGAAAAATTAAATGACTTATTTGTTTCATAAGCAAAAATACTGGGAGCTTACTTACTCAACAAATTTTTTTAGGCAGTGCTAAAAAGCTAATTGAGTGGCTTCTTATTAAAAGATAAATGGAGACTGTGGCACACTTAAAATGTAAGTGTTAACTTCATCTGAAATTTCATTAGCATGGTATCATTTTTTGCAAATAATTCTAATAAAAATGTTTACCTATAAATGCCAGAATTTCTTAGGAAAAGCTTAACTAGTTGGATGTCAATTTCTGAGTCAAGGTTTGTGCAGGTTGTCTCAACAGCTGCATAGATTAAATAATAGAATAGTAATACATTCTGGGATTTCTAAAGGTAAAATTTGCCTTAATCATAGTAACTAGTATAAGCTCACAGATCACAGAGCTCTAAAGACACCCAAAATGAACTTTAAATATCAGGTTGTAACATAAGAATTTTTAAACAAATAAAAAACCCATTACATTGCCTATAAAATGCAATCTGGTACATACTTACACTTTTAGTAATGTTATCTACATTACTGCTGTGTTATCAGTACAAATGAGAAAAATGGTCAAAATTTTGAGGCTTCACAAAATTTCCTGTGGACCAATATAAATCTACTTTTTAATTTATGCCAAATGTTGGGAAGCTCAAAAGTGGTGCTAAAAATATTAAAATTGGAATGCTGTAATAATGAACTCTATAAAACATGACAGTAAGAATGTAAGCACTAAGGAATTCAATGTTTATTTTTTCAATATGATTTTCTAAGATCCCCTTATTTTGGTCCGTAAAAACAAAGCTCAAATAAGGACTAAATAAGGACTATTGCTCAATTTATAAAATTCCCCAAATAACTATACTGGAAGCTCAGTTTAATACAAACAAGTTCAACTACAAAGCCCAATGTGCTTTAGTAAAAAGAAAATGTTGGCTTCTCTTCATTCACTCGGCTTCTCTGAAAAGTAAAGTTCTTATTAGTAAACAAAAAGTGTAGAAAGGGAAAAGAGGGTCTAAAAAAAGGGGGGAAATGCGAGAAAGAATAAAAAGGAAAATGGAGGAAAAGGAAATACTTAAAGACAATGAATTTCAGAGAATTTTCTTAAATTCTTAGAATTTTTAACAATTAAATTTTTCTACTACAGTTTGCCAAAGACATACTAATACACTATTAATTCACATGTAAGAAATAAACTGATACGGAGTAACATAAGAAATTTAAAAAGAAAAAATTATATATTTAAAATTCTGTCAAATGTTTTGGCAGGTGCTCTACAAAAGTATTTAAAATTATATACAAAGTATCCTTCTTTTACTTAAGTTTTCCTTTTCAATTTTTTATTGTTTTAATATGATAGATGTGACAATAAAACCTTTTTGGTTTGGCCAAGAGCCACGTTAGTTTCACTAACTATAAAGAATTAACTACTTACCTTCATTACTTTTCCTCACAACACTTCTAAGCTTTTAGGAGAAGCTGAAAAACAAACATTAAAGATTATAAATAAATTTGGAGATGGGAACTTATCTTTAATAGTTATTTAAGGGAAAACTGAAATATATGCAGCATATATACACAGACACAATAAAATATTCAGGCATAAAGGGAAAAGAAGTCCTGATACATGCCACCATATGGAAGAACCTTGAAAACATGCCAAGTGAAATGTGTCAGGCACAAAAGGGTAAATACTGTATGATCCCACTTACAAATGTTTTTTACAAATAACAAGTACCTATACATTTGTTTGTAACCACAAACAAATTTCCTTCTGGGATGAATCTTAGTAAGTTCGACTATACTAATTTTTTAAACATGTTATTATTAATTTTTTGAAAAAACAGTACATTTACAAGATATCTCCCAGGGGCACAGGGCAGTTGGCAAAAAAACAGAAGGCACATGCTCTCTGTGAAGAAATGTAGTACATTAAATATCTAAAAGGACAAATGCATAGAGTATACTGGTGGTTATCAGGGGCTAGAGAAATAAGGTGATAGTGATTTATTGTTTAAGGAGTACGAGGCTTCTGTTATGCAGCACTGATGGCATAGTGGTTATGCGTTGGGCCGCTAACTGCAGGATCAGTAGTTCAAAACCAAGTCACTCAGGAGAAAGATGAGGCTTGCTACTTCCATAAAGAGTTACAGTCTCAGAAATCCACAAGGGCAGCTCTACCCTGTCCTACAGGGTCACTATATGTCAGAAATGACATGATGACAGTGAGCTTGGTTTTCTGGTTTGAGAGGCTTCTGTTTAGGGTGATGAAAAACTTTTGGTGGCAATGAAATCCCCGGGGAATACCACAAATAGACTTTGGAGACAGAGTGTGGCACCCCATCAGACTCGACTGAAAGACATTCCTAAAGTTCAAAAAACAGACCTCGAACTATTTATGGGCTTTTCCTTTTTGGTCATTGGCTTTCTTTTCATTGTTGTTATTTTGTTTTTGTTATTGTTTTGTTGGTTTTGTCTTCCTTTGTTGCTTTGTTTGGCTTTGCCTGGTTTTGCGATTATTAATGTCTCTGCATGTCTATCTAGATAAGATAGGCAGAATAAAACTATCTGGAGAAGAAAACAATGGAACTGACAGTTTTGGGGGTGGGGGGATACGGGAGAAGGAGATGTGGGAGAAAAGAAGGTGGGGGAAGGGCAACCAACCCAGGGACAGGGAACAAGTGAACTAAAATCAATGGAGAGAAGGGCATAGGATGCCTAGTGGGGCTTAATCTAGGGCAATGTAGCAGCGAGGAATTACTAAACCCGAATGAAGGCCGAATATGATGGTGAGACAAGAGGAAAATACAAGGAAATAAAGAACCAGGAGGCAAAGGACATTTATAGAGGTCTAAATACAGGCATGTACATATATCTATGTACTTATATCTATACGTTAAGAATTAATGTAGCAGATGGACATTGGGCCTTGACTCAAGTACTCCCTCAACACAAAAACACTTTGTTCTAATAATCTGGCATTCTGTGATGCTCACCTTCCTGACACAATCACTGAAGACAAAATGGGTGCATGAGCAAATGTGGTGAAGAAAGGTGATAGTGCCCACCTATCAAAAGATACAGCATCAGGTCTCCTAAAGGCTTGAAGATTAACAAGTGGCCATCTAGCTGAGAAGCAACAAAGTCCACATGGAAGAAGCACACCAGTCTGTGTGATTATGAGGTGTCAATAGGATAAGTTTTCAGGCATCTAATACCCAGAACAAAAGCATACCCAAAGTGAATGGGGAGGAGGGTGGGAAGGATGAGAAGTGGAGACCCAAAGACTATCTGTAGACAATTAGACATCCCCTCACAGAAGGGTCACAAGGAAGAGATGAGCTAGTCATGGTTGCAGTATAGCAAGAATGAAGCACAACTTTGCTCTAGCTCTTTGGTGCTTCCTTCACCCCACTATCATGACCTCAATTCTACCTTACAAATTGGATTAGAACAGAACATGCACACTGCTACAGATAAGAGCCCACAACACAGGGAATCCAGGATAGATAAACCCCTCGGGCCAACAATGAGACTAGAGATACCAGGAGGATAAGGTGAAAGTGGGAGGAGAAAGGGAGAAATGATTACAAGGATCAATATATAACCCCCTCCCAGGGGGACGAACAACAGAAGAGTGGATGAAGGGTGACAGAGGATGATGTAAGATAAGAAAATAATAATCTATAACTTATCAAGGGTTCATGAGGGCGGGCGGGGGGGGGAGGGAGGGGGGAGCTGATATCAGGGGCTCAAGTGGAAGAGGATGCTTTGAAAATGATAATGGCAACTTATGTACAAATGTGCTTGACACAAAGGATGAATGTACGAATTGTGATAAGCGATTTAAGAGCCCCGAATAAAAGTATTTAATAAAAATAAATAAACTTTTGGTGATTGCCATTGAAGTCACTAATTTGTACACATCTTATGATTAAAGTGGCAAACATTTAAGTATATTTTACCTCAATAAAGTTTAAAGTTACATTAAATTTTAAAAACAGAAGCAGATATTACAAAGTGTGACCTCTAAAACATTTCATTTTTTTAAATGAACTATGAGGTAGTGGAATCCCTGGATAGAATGTAGTTATAATAAATGATTCTAGCTGTAACACAAATGTACGACATAACCTCACTGAAAAGGATGAGGCAGAAAGCAGCTTACTAAATATCTTTACAAATAGTATTATGACTGCAAACGGAAAGCTAAGGAAAAAAGCACTGTACATAACACTATACTCTAGTGCAGCAGTTCTCAACCTGTGGGTTCTACCCTTTGTAGGTAGAACAACCCTTTCACAGGGGTCACCCGATTCATAACAGTAGCAAAATTACAGTTATGAAGTAGCAAAGAAAATAATTGTATGGTTGGGGGGGGTCACTACAACATGAGGAACAGCATTAGGAAGATTGAGAACCACTGCTCTAAATCAACACATGGTAGGCACATTTTTAAGCCCCTTCATATAAATATTCTCCCTATAGAAGGTGGAGGAGCCCTGGTGGCATAGTGGTTACAAGGTGGGCTGCTAACAGCAAGGTCAGCAGTTTGAAACCACCAGTTTCTTTCTTAGTAAGTGCTGCTATACTAATTTTTTTACATGTTATTGTTAATATTTTTTAAAACATAGTACATTTACAAAATATCTCCACTCTGCAGAAGACGGGTCTTTCTCCTCTGTAGAGAGTTAAGTCTTGGAAACCCAGTTTCCCTGTTCTCTAGAGTTGCTGTGAGTGAGCTTAAGTCCCCCTCTCCCTTCATGACTAAGATAGAAACAAACCAAAAACAGAAAGCAACAAATAAATGTTGGTAAAAATGAGGAGAAACTTGACTCATTTCTTACTGGTAGAAATGCAAAATGCTACAACCACTATGGAAAAGTTTCACAGTTCCTCAAAAAGTTAAACATGTAACAGATGAATGAATGGATAAATAAAATGTGAAATGCACTATACACGCAATGGAATACTACTCAGTCATAAAGAAAAATGAAACTCTTATGGACCCTGAAAACATGCTGAGTAAAGCTAACTGGTTGTAAGAGGGCAAATACTTAATCTCATTGTTTATTAGTGGTTACAAGTGGCAGGAGGGAGTGGGAGAGGGGAAATCATTGCCTAGGAAGGACTGAATACCTGTTCATGGTGCTGCAAAATCTGGCAACAGATATGGTTAATGGTTGCACACCATAATTAATTTAATCATATCTACTGAATTGTACATGTAAAATATGTTGAATTCTAAATGGTGTATATTTTTAAGATGGCAAATTCTAATATAAAGTTTAAACTTTTTAAAGGTCTAAGGAGACCTATCAAAAGACAGAATTAAGAATAAAAAGTCAACCACAGGCTAGAGAAAAGTCATTATATGGATTAACCCAGGCCATGGTATTTTCAATTGTCTCACTGTATATGAGATCCGGACAATGAAAATGGCAGACAGAAGGACTGATGCATTTAAATTGCAATGATGGCAAAATATATTGACTATACCATTCCTTGCCAGAAGAATGAACAAACCAGTCTTAGAAGAAATAAAACCAGAATGCCCCTTAGAGCAAGAAAGGCTAAACTTCAGCTCACGTCCTTTAGCTAGATCATCAGGAAAAACCAATTGCTAGAAAAGAACATCCTGTCTAATAAAGTAAAGGGTCAGTAAAAAAAAATCAAGGGAAACCTCAAAGGAGATTAACTGAAACAATAGCCACAACAATGCACTCAAGCATACCAGCAATTATAAAGAAGACACAGGACCAGGCAACATTCTGTTCTGTTACACAGGTCATCATGAGTTGGAAACTCAACTGTAGTAATATATCTGACAAAAGACTGACATAAATCAGAAATAAAAAGAAACCCAAAAATCGGGCAAAACACTTAAACAAATGTATAACACAACATTTATATATAAATGACTAAGAAAATGTCTAACATGATCAAGCATCGAGAAAATGCAAATTAAAATCACATGGAGATCTAACATACTCGCTAAAACAGTGGTTCTCAATCTTCCAAATGCTGTGACCCTTTAATACAGTTCCTTGTGTTGTGGTGACCCCCAACCATAAAATTATTTTCGTTGCCACTTCATAACTGTAATTTTGCTACTGTTATGAATTGGGCAACCCCTGTGAAAGGGTCGTTTGACCCCCAAAAGAGTCACGACCCACAGGATGAGAGCCACTGCACTGAAATTAAAAAGACCAAATGTGTCAAGTTTCACTTCAAAGGGGTAGTATTTACAACTGAATGAAACCCAAATATATTAAAATCATGAGCTCCTAAGATGAAAACCAAAACCAATGTGGAACAAGTGGAACTATCATTTGCTATTGGTGGAAGTATAAAATGGTACATGCCAGTTGAGAAACTGCTGATTTTCTGAGAAAGTGAACACAACTACCCTCTGATTCAGCCATTCTACTCAATATTTACTCATTATATTTATATATATATATATATATACATATATATATATATGAAAATAGGTGTGTTGACAAAGACTTCGGCAAATATGTCTTTAGTTTAATTCACAAGAACCAAAAACTAGAAACAATTCAAATATCAACAAAATTAATAGTAGTATAATGGACTACTAATACATGAAATAACAAATGGATCACAAACATTATGTTGACAGAAAGAAGCCAAATAACAAAGAATACATACTGTACGAGTCCATTATATGAAGTTCAAGAACAGGCAAAATTGTTTTCTTAATGGTGGATAAATCAGAATGGCGGTTGCATCTAGAAGGGGAGGAGAAGGGCATTGACCACAAGGGAAAGCACGAGAATTTTCTGGGGTGATAGAAATGTTCTATGTTATTTGAACATTACAGGGGTGTATATCATTGCCTAAACTAGCTGAACATTGCCTAAGCACAGGTTTATGCATTTTATTATAAAGAAAGCATATCTTTAAAAAAAAAAAACCTCTAACTTGGAACAGCAGAAGTTACTCCAGGGTCATCTTTCATCCAAATAAGATAGTTGGGCTGCTAACTTCAAGGCTAGCAGTTCAAAACCATCAGCTGCTCCTCGGGAGAAAGACAGGATGGGCTTTCTACTCCCATAAAGAGTTACAGTATCAGAAACTCAAAGGGGCAGTTCTACCCTATCCTATTGGGTCAGTATGAGTCAGCATCAACTGGATGGTAGTGAGTGAATCAGTGATAAAATACACAACACTCAGGAGGAACATGTTCCTTGAAACAATCAACTACAAGAGACCAAAAGGGCAACATCTCCTCAAAAGGATGAGAAAAGACCGTGAGGAGCAGGGGAATCAGATGAGTAGAAACGGAGAAGAGTGGATACACTGCTTGGAGCACATTTATTACCATGGAACAATCTGGGTATGAAGGTTAAGTAAAAAAACATTGTTAAAAACATTTCATACTGCAAGGGTTTATTCCAAACAAGTGTTTAAATATGTCTCAGTGATCAGTGGTTGGCTGCAGACTAATTCTCTCAGTAATACACGTCTTACTCTCATAGGGGTACGGTAAATTTTTTTTTTAAGTTTTTAAGGTTCATTCAAAGTTGTGCCTCCCAAAGGGATCTGCTGGGCTGGTTTAATTAAAGGTAGAGAAGGTTGAGGTGACTATTTGGGGGGATTCCTAAGGAGTCATTGTCTTGCTAGATAACAGAAGCTTTTTAGGAAGAAGTTCTAAGAAAACGAAAAGTTGCAACTGTTGAGGAAAAGGTCAGGAAAGTTGCAACAAGGTTTTTTCCCATCATCAGTAGGTATCTAACTCATTCTTCAAGGGTAGCAAAGCTGTCGGCAAAGTTGTCCTCCAAGAATTTCATTGGGAGACCGTAACCCATTCACCCTTTAGCCCCAGTCTTGCTCTTTCAGACCTCTTTTCAATCTCAAAACCCACAGAACCTGTCAGAGAAACACAACACGAGTGCCTTGAGATTGCCACTTTGACTCAGTGTAAATTGAAGGGCTCAGAATTCTCTGGAAGGGAATTCTCTTGGAAGTGGGCAAACCCACTGCCAAGTCGATTCTGAAACATAGCAACCTGTTAAGACGGAATAGCTCTTGCTCCTTTAAGTTTCCAGGATTGTAGATCCTTACGGAAGCTGAAAGCCTAAATTTTTCACCTGCCAAGTGGCAAGTGGATTTGAACTATTAACCTTTCTGTTGTTGGCAGCCCAATGTCTAATCCACAGTTCCTTTTAAGGAAAGGTTAGATAAATGGAAACATTGAATTCAGAAGATTAGATCTAGAAGTTACGTTGATAAATAACAGCTTTATATTTTGCTACTGTTATGATTTTGTATAGTTTATATGATATTATAGCAGTGTTTCTTACTTATCCTCATATAATGTTAAGTACACCTAAAAATGTCTCCACTATTCCAAAAAATTTTTAATTGCCTCAGGAAAGAAATACAAATTCTCTGCCATCAGAAAGAAGCTTAAATCTAGATTAAGTGAACAAAGTTAAAGAAATGAAACATACATTTTAAAAAGCTCTTTTGCCATTAAAAAAATTCCTGAAATAATTTTCTTCTTCCCAAATGCCATTTTATTTATTAAGATAATTTTATTGGGGGCTCTTACAGCTCTTATAACAATCCATACATCAATTGTATCAAGCATATTTGTACATGTTGCCAACATCATTTTCTAAACATTTACTTTCTATTTGAGCCCTTAGTATTAGCTCCACTTTTTTTCCCTCCCTCTCCCACCCTCATGACCCCTATTATTACTTTCTTATCTTACACTAACCGCTTTCTCCCTTTACCCACATTTCTGTTGTTTGTCCCCCGGGGTTGGGGGTGCAGGGGATGTGTTAATCATGGCGATCGGTTCCCCCTTCTTCCCATTTCTGTTCCTGAGGGGTTTATCTGACCTGGATTCCATGTATCGTGAGCTCTTATCTGTACCAATGTTCATGCTCCGGTCTAGCCAGAACTGGGGTCATGATAGTGGAGGGTGAGGAAGCCTCAAAGAACCAGAGGAATATTGTGTTTCATCAGTGCTATACTGCACCCTGGATGAGTTGACCCATCCTTTTCCTGTGACACCTTAATAAATTATAATTATTTTCATATCTTACACCGACCGCTGTTTCCCTGTTGTTCATTCCCTTGGAGGGGAAGGTGGGCTAATGTGATCATTGCAATAGGTTTCCCCTCCCCTCCTCTTCCCACCTTCCCTCCTGGTATCGCTACTCCCATTCCTGTTGCTGGATTCCATGTAGCCACAAATCTTTTGAAGCTCCCTCACATTATCCCCAAAATCACTTGGATATCTATTTCATTTTCTAGTACCGTCCATTCATAAGAAATCTCTTCACCAACAGAATATTATTTAATCAAAAAGAGTGCAATTCTGGGCTTCTGGCAAAAGATGTAATGTAGAATGACACACTACTTCCTCCCTCTATACAAAGAAGTCAGAAAATATGCACAGAGGAGAAATTTTCAGCCCTGATTCTCTGAGGAAAGGATAGCTGAGTGGGTGGTACACCTACAAGGAAATCAGGATGCAGAATCAACAAGCAGTCGCTGGCAATTCTCCACTTGCTGACGTTCTGCGTATAGACCTGGGCAAAGCTCCCTGAGACCTACCACCAAGGCAACTACCAGCAGAACAAGTCCAGAAGAGCTAAAACACAACCTTGAGTATATGTCACATGAATTTTAAGAATATCTCAAGAATATATTTCACCCATTAAGTACGAATGACAAAAGACCTGAGAAGCTGTAGAATGACATGAAAAACATACATGAAGCAAAATGTTATTAAAAACATAAGAAAGATCACAGTGGATGTCAGAAGAGATTCTCAAACTTGCTCATGAATGAAAAGTGTTGAACAGAAAAATTCACAGGGCAGCTCAAGAGGACAAAGTAGAGTATTATAATGAAATGTGCAATGACCTGGTATTAGACAGCCAAAAAAGGAAGAATACAATCAATACATCTCAAGCTTAAATAATTGAAGAAGAAAAGTACACCCTTGAGTTGCAATATTAAAGGATTCCATGGGGAAATTTTTGTATGATGCAGGAAGCATGAAAAGAAGATGGAAGGAATGCAGAGTTACTATATCAGAAAGAACTGGTTGAAAATCAACCATTTCAAGAGGTAAGATGTGATCAAGAACCAATGATACTGAAGGAATCAGTCCAAGCTGCACTGAAGGCATTAGCAAAATGCAAGACTTCAGGAATTGAAATGTTTTGACAAGCTGATTGATGAAGCACTGGAAACACTCACTCATCTTTGCCAAGAAATTTGGAAGAGAGCTACCTAATAAACTCTCTGGAAGAGATCATATTTGTGCTCATTCCAAAGGAAGGTGATCCAAAGAATGTGGAAGTTTATCAAACAATATCATTATCTTATATGCAAGTAAAATTTTGAAGATCATTTGTAAAAGAATGCAGCAATATATCAATAGGGAGCTGCCAGATATTCAAGTTGAATTCAGATTCAAAAAACATGGTACAATGCTAATTTTAGATAGATCATAGCTAAAAGCAGAGCCTATCAGAAAGATGTTTACTTTTGTTATTGGCTATGCAAAGGCATTCAACTGTGGACCATAACAAACTATGGCTAACATTAAGGGAAAATATGGAAATTTCAGAAGACTTCGTTTTGTGCATCTAGAACCTATACAAGAATCAAGAAGTCGTCTTTCAAACAGAACAATACAAGCAAATAATACAATAATTTACAATACAACAAATACAACAATACAAGCAAATAATACAAATAATACAAGCAAATAATACAAGAAGCTGGACTACCTAAACAAACACAGCATTAGGATTGGAAGAAGATTTATTAACTTGAGATATGCAGATACACAATCCTGCTTACTGAAAGTGAGAGCTTCAAGCACCTACTGATGAAAATCAAAGATTGTATCCTTCAGTACAAATTGTAATTTGATAAAGACCAAAATCCTTACATCTAGACCAAAAGACAACAACATGATAAACAGAGAAAAGATTAATGCTATCACAGACTTCATCTTGCTTGGATCCAACAATCAATGCTGTTGGAAACAGCCATCAAGAAATCAAATGACTTAAGGAAATAGAGGAAAGAGCTGGGAGGCAAAGGGCATTTATAGAGGTCTAAATAAAGGCATGTACATATGTAAATATATTTACATATGAAGATGGCAAAATAGACATATGTGCATATATTTATAGGTTAAGTATTAAGGTAGCAGAAGGACACTGGACCTCCACTCAAGTACTCCCTCAATGCAAGAATACTTTCTTCTATAAATTGGCATTCTCTAATGCTCACCTTCCCGACACAACCGCTGAAGACAAAGTGGGTGAATAAGCAAATGTGGTGAAGAAAGTTGATGGTGCCCAGCTATTAAAAGATATAGTGTCTGGGGTCTTAAAGGTAAACAAGTGGCCATCTAGCTGAGAAGCAACAAAGCCCACATGGAAGAAGCACACCAGCCTGCATGATCACAAGGTGCCAAAGGGATCAGTTATCAGGCATCATCAGAACAAAAAA